TTGCGGTCAAATTGCTGCCAGCACTTATCAATTGAGCTTACTCCCATAAATAAAAATTTATATATAATAACTTTACATAACCATCACTTAATTATGATGATTTTAATTTGATCATTGATTTTTAATTTTGTTAATCAAATCACCCAATTATTTAAAAGATACTAATAAAGCCTCTTGACATGAGTATTTGACGAAATGTGGCAGTTAAGAAAATTAAAATAATTATATATTTAATTTTCATTATTTATTTATTCACAATTTATTAAACTAAATTAATAGAATGTGTAAATAATGATAATTAAATTTATAATTATACCAATTTTATTAATTATCATATAAACTCAACTGTTAAATATTAATGATAGATGACTTGATTGGTCATTTAACAATAAATGGCTTGATTGACTACGAATCAACTTTATTTTATTTTATTTTTACAAATAACAATATATAATTTAGACAAAAACAAGCATAAAATGGTACCAAATTAAATAAAAGGAAATGAAAAGTAATGGTCATAAGAACAAATGTAGAAAAATAAGAATAAGACCGAAAATAAATCTTTTTCCCCAGAAAATCGAGGGTGGGGAATGTGTTAGAGAGAAATAGAGTGGCATGAATTAAACCACAATTTTTCTATTTCATTACTAAAGTGAGGATTAAACGGTGAACCATTCAATAAATCCTCAAATACTTGAATTAGCTCATGGGTTTGTTTGTCATTTTATGATTAATTTAATCCCTCTCCAACTCTCTCCCCATCACCGTCACGATAATAAAACATGCATCATTAACACACTAATTCCCCCCTCTTTACATCTCTATCATGGGTGGTGCTGCCGCTGCTCCTCCATCTTCATTTCCCACTAAAATCCTCTTAGCCGGCTGTTTCCTTAACTTCTTTTATAACTTAATTTACAGTCATTAATTCCCTAATTCTTTCTGGTTAGTTCTCACCCTTCTTCTGTTTTTTTTCCCTGGATTCAGACATATAAATATAAATAAACACGTACACAGATATGCATGCAACGTGGTGATTTTCTTTCTCTGTGATGATTAGGAAAGCAGTCGAGGTTTCGGACCAGGTCGATGTCGTCAAGAGCTAATAGGATGCTCAACTCTTCTGTAAAAGAGGTTGGATTTTTGTTTTGTTTTGTTTTGTATTGAATTGAATTTGAATGACATTTGCTCCTGAATCTTGTTTATCTGTTGATGAAGGTGGGTGGTAAGTCATCAGGAGCGGCAACTGATTCACAATACAAGAAAAAGAACAATAAACATAACAGTCCAGTGAATGAGAACGGCCCCAAAATCATGGCTCCTGCAATTACGCTCAGGACGCCATTGGAAGCTGACGTGAAAGTACCAAATGATGCAAAGAACACCAATCTTTCTGGGAGTAGAAACAGCAGTCGCAGCGATAGCATAGAGAGCACCACCACGCCGCTTAGGCCGCACACTGGCGGCGACGTGCGGTGGGACGCCATTAATTCGGTGAGTGCTAGAGGTCCCATCGGTCTCAGTAACTTTCGGCTACTCAAGCGAATCGGATACGGAGATATCGGGAGTGTGTACCTGGTGGAGCTCAGAGGAACCAATGCTTTTTTTGCTATGAAGGTGATGGACAAGGCGTCTTTGGCTAGTAGAAACAAGTTATTGAGAGCTCAAACGGAACGAGAGATTCTTGGCCTTCTTGACCACCCTTTTTTACCTACTCTGTATTCCTACTTTGAGACTGAAAAATTCTATTGTCTGGTCATGGAATTCTGCAGTGGGGGCAATCTTCATTCCTTGCGCCAGAAGCAACCCAATAAGCATTTCACAGAGGAAGCTGCAAGGTTCATATCCTCTTTATCATCCAATCCCACATTAATTTTCCATTTCATCTTGTTAATATTATATGTTGATTCATTTTTGGGGGTTTCAGGTTCTTCACATCAGAGGTGTTGCTGGCACTTGAGTATTTGCATATGCTGGGTATTGTATACAGGGACTTGAAGCCAGAAAATGTGTTGGTACGAGATGAAGGTCATATAATGCTCTCGGATTTCGACCTATCCCTTCGTTGCTCTGTTAATCCGACACTTGTGAAATCTTCATCCACGCATCAAGCAAGCAACGGCGGCGGTAATGGCGGCATCTTGGATAACGAGCAAGTACCCGGGCATGGTTGCATGCAGCCCTCCACATTCTTCCCCCGCATCTTGCATGGCAAAAAGAACCGTAAATCCAAATCGGATTTTGGCCTCTTCGTGGGAGGCTCCATGCCGGAGTTGATGGCTGAACCGACCAACGTCCGTTCGATGTCGTTCGTCGGTACGCATGAATATTTAGCGCCGGAAATCATCCGCGGGGAGGGACACGGCAGCGCAGTTGACTGGTGGACGTTCGGAATCTTCTTATACGAACTCTTGCATGGGACGACCCCATTCAAAGGCCAAGGCAACCGAGCCACATTGTTCAACGTAGTAGGGCAGCCATTGAGATTCCCAGAAACCCCACAAGTGAGCTTCGTGGCTCGAGACCTCATAAGTGGTCTGCTGGTCAAAGAACCGAGCAAACGCATCGCGTGCAAACGGGGAGCAACGGAGATAAAGCAACACCCGTTCTTCGAAGGAGTGAATTGGGCGCTGGTGAGGAGCGCAATGCCGCCGCACGTACCTGAACCGGTGGATTTTTCACAGTTGGTCGCAAAGGAAGAGAAGAAGAACAGCCATGGTGGTCACCATCATCTTCATAATGAACTTGTCGGAGATCAAGCAGCTAAAAAATCCAATTCATCTGACTACATACAATTTGAATACTTTTAGCACTGCATTGATCTCTTCTCATTAACTTCACTACTGCACAATTTAATTCTAAATGCGATGGATTACAATGTATGATTACAATTATAATTATGATAAGATTTTAGATTTTGTTTCAAGCTCTCCTGTCATCATTATACTGGAAATGTGTAAAATTTCTCACATTCTAAATATGTAATTCTTTTTAAAGACGTGAAATAATTGGAAATTTCTCTTTTATAATTTATTTATTATATTTAAAATTAAATAAGGTTTGATGAATTATGATAATAATAATCGGTACGTATCGACCATTTTATTTTGTAGGCCAGCTCAATGAATAATTGGGTATAAATAATATATTAACATAAAGTGAATTGTACAAATAAAATAAATAACTATTTAACAATAAACAACCTATTTCAAACATAAACTAAAATTAGAAAATGGAAAGTGAGTTCGAGCATAAATAATTATTTCTTTTTCTCATAGAATTTCTACATTTTAATCTTATCTAATTATTTATTACAATTTTAATTTATTTTGAAATTTGATTAATATATTAAATTATAACGACTTTCACTTTAATTAACATTAATATTTTCACATATAAAAAAATTATTATTATTCTTTGAGATATCGAGTTCAAGCACTATGAATATAAGGGTATAAGCCTAATGATTGATTTTTGAATAAATATTATCATATATTTATCCCATATTAATAAAAAATTGACAAGATGTATCATGTAGGGAAAAAGACACATTCAACATTTTTCGTACATGTTGTTAATAGCGGAATAAAATATAGGATAAATTGCGTATTTAGTAACTAAATTATCAATTTTATTACTTAAACTTTTAATTTTTTCCAAAATCATACTTAACATATAGTTTTTGTTTCATTTTAGTGCATTGCCGTTAAAAACTTAGCGGATGGGTTGACAGGGCATAGCTCTAGTGGACGGATAACCAATCTGAGTGGTGGGCCACGAGAGAATGACAATTCAACCAACATAGTCCAGTTTCAAGCCCATCGGACAGTTGACGACGAGGAACGGAGGATGAAGAAGTCAAGGAGTCCATCGTCGATTAAAAAAATTAAGTCATTTTTTGGTGAAACCGAGACCAAAATCACGTTCAGAGGTCAAAAAGTACAAGCAAAAAAGTTTAGGTTTCATCCGCTGACAAATTCGACAGTTGAAGAGTATAGACGTAGCGGCAAGCGAGCCAGTTCGTTAAGTTTTTAATGGTAGATATTAAAATGAAATAAAAACAAAACATTAGGTATAGTTTTTAAAATTTGAAAGTTTATGTACTAAAACGGATCAAAACTGATAATTTAGGCATTAAATGCATAATTTATCCTAGATATAGCGACTTTCACTTTAATGATTAGGCTTAATGCCTAAATAAGTGTCAAAACTATGTTTTCCTTGTCAAATAAGCGCCTATAGTTTTTTTTACTCATCCAGGTGCCTAACGTTACAAACGTTACCCTTTTAGGTTCTCAAGTCATCAACGTCGTTAGTTTTTCCCGTTAAGTGCCACGTGTCAACACTTGGTAATTTTAAAATTTTATATAAAATTTATTATCATGTTTTATAAAACAACCCTAAAATATTAAATCTTAACCTTAATCCACCATCGGTGCCTTCTCCAACCACCACCGTCATCGCCGACATAGTTCTTGACACCATCCTAGTTATATGTCGTCGTAGTTGTCGTCGATTCTCCATCAAAATCGCTTGGGATCGCGATTTTCATCATAAGGTTTGTGAGATTTAAAACGTTAATTTGTGGTCGATTGATCGACAACCGATCACGATTTCATAGGGGTTATGGTCTCCGGGGGAGGGGAGGTCAGGTGGAGCTTCTTCGATGGTAAAGGGCGGCGATCGACGTGAATTTAGGGGTTGAAATGAAAGTTTTCAAAGTTGAGGGGTTATTTCAAAATTTATGTTTTTTAAATATATATTATTTTATTTTATTTTTAAATTTTATATAAATTTTTAAAATTACCAGGTGTTAGCACATGTCACTTAACAAGGAAAACTAACGGCGTTTATGACTTGGGTATCTAAAAGAGTAATATTTGTAACGTTAAGCACCAGGATAGGCAAAAAAAAACCGTAGACACTTATTTGGCACAAAAGAGATAGTTTAGGCACTTATTTGAGAGTTAAGCCTAATGATTATTTTATTAGTTTGTCGAATAAATCTCCCGTTGACATTTATTTGCAGTAGTTGGCGATCGGCTTGCGTCGGGTTGTTTCAACCAAATTTTTAGTCGAAATGGCGTTTCCCAGTAAGATTAAGGTGATGAATCCCATAGTCGAGATGGACGGTGAGATTTCAATCCCCTAAACTCCCTCCTCAATCTTCCCGCTTTTTGTTTGCCTACCTTAACCGATGATTCTTCCCTCTCTCTTTTTTTCTGATCCAGGAGATGAAATGACTCGTGTTATTTGGAAATCTATAAAGGAAAAGGTGATTTTCTTTGCTTTCTATTTCTTTTTCTATTCGGTTTTGTTTTGTTTTGTTTTTCCTTTCTCTTATCTGTTTTTGGTTGATGAATGTTCTAAGTTAATTTGCCCCTTCTTGGAGTTGGATATAAAGTATTTTGACCTTGGTCTTCTTAATCGTGATGCCACGAATGATGAAGTTACAGTCGCAAGTGCTGAAGCTACTCTTAAGTATGGCTTTGAAATCAGTGTTCGTATGCTTGTAATTGTACGCAACATTTGATGCCTTTGCTCTGATGTTAATTGCTTTTGATATGCAATTGTAGGTATAATGTTGCAATTAAGTGTGCAACTATAACTCCAGGTATGGATTTCCTAAACCTTTGACTTACTACTATGGAGAGGACTTAGAGGAAGAAATGAGAGATTATGCAATGAAAAAAAGCCAGAAGAAAAACCTAAATAGTAAATTTGATACTGTCTCTGTGTAATTTTTCTAAGATATAGCATAGGTGAACCACGAAAGTGTTTCCATTTCTCATTCCATTTCATTGTAAAATATGTCATATCATCCTGGACGTGGTAATGGTGTTTTTCTAATGGAATTAGTAATTTTACTCATTAGATAATGTATCCGTGGAAGAGTACTGCAGTTGTCCAAATTGTCTAAGAGGGTTCCTTGAAGTGGTTTACTATATGATTTTTGACAGATGAAGGCCGTGTTAAGGAGTTCAACTTAAAGAAAATGTGGAAAAGTCCAAATGGGACTATTCGAAATATTTTAAATGGTAAGTGTTTCTCACTTGGTATGGTTTTGTTTCCAGTTTACTGATATATTTTTTATTTGCTTTTGTTTTGGGGATTTGAAAGGGTTCAATTTGTTTGTGTGACTCCAGGAACTGTTTTCAGGGAACCAATTATTTGCAAAAATGTCCCTCGGCTTGTCCCAAGTTTGTGCATCATCTTAATATTTCTGTTTCGTTATTTATATCATTACTGTTATTTGTTTAATTCATCTTACACATTTCAGGCTGGACCAAGCCAATCTGCATCGGGAGACATGCTTTTGGTGATCAGTACCGAGCAACTGATTTAGTTGTACAAGAACCTGGAAAACTCATGCTTGTTTTTGGTAATCTCCTATTTAATAGAGAAATTCTGTCAATCTTCAATCTATGGGTTTTTTTACTTTGACATGAACTTGCAGATTTTCTGTATTAGAAAACCCAAATTCATCTTAATTCATTTTATTTTATCTCATGAATCCTGATTTTTTCAGTTCCTGGTACGAGTGTTGAGAAGAAGGAGATTGAGGTTTTCAACTTCAAAGGTGCTGGTGGTGTAGCTTTGTCCATGTACAACACTGATGAGGTACATGTTCAACATGTGTTACTATGTCCAACAAGATTCTAGAAGCCAATAACTATTATTATGGCTTTGAATTGAAAACAGTCTATTCGTGCTTTTGCTGAGTCTTCTATGAACACCGCTTACCAGAAAAAATGGCCACTTTATCTTAGCACAAAAAATACAATTCTGAAGAGTTACGATGGAAGGTTTGTATTTTCAACATATTTTCCCCCTCATTCTTATTTGATCGTTGTAACCATGTATTTCTATAGTTCGGTGACATCTTCTGTTGTTTTTATTCTTCCTGAAGATTCAAAGACATATTCCAGGAAGTTTATGAAACTCAATGGAAATCCAAGTACAAGGCAGAAGGTATTTGGTGAGATACAGTACCCATTGCAATTTGTACTTGTTCTTGTTTGGGGCAACTACACTAGCATAACTTGTGTTGCTGTGTTGTAGGTATGAGCACCGACTTATTGATGATATGGTTGCTTATGCTTTAAAAAGCGAAGGAGGTTATGTATGGGCATGCAAAAACTATGATGGAGATGTGCAGAGTGATTTCTTAGCCCAAGGTCTGTCATATTTAAGAGTTATTACATCTACTTCATTATAATTATAATCAATTGTTTTTCTGAAAGTAGTACGAGGCATTTCATGAGCAATTTCTGACCAAGGTCTCCATGCTATGCCTGACTTCCGTTGATTTCCTAAGCTTGTGTATTTTTTTTGGAGTGGGACAGGGTTTGGATCTCTTGGGTTGATGACATCAGTATTGGTAAATTCTCTCTCTCCCTCTCTCTCTCAACCAATCACATAAAATCCATAAATAGGTAGAAAACAGCACCTATGCACCATACCATAATGACCTCATTCACAGAAAAGATGTAAGGAAGAAGACGGACACAGCCTCAATGCACAAACAAAATGTAACACCATAATGGCCTCATTCACATGAAATAGAAAATGGAAAACAAATGACGTTCCGAAATACATTGTAACTCGATTTCAGAAAGACTAAATATCTTAGAAAGAGAGATATGGTATACTGTAGTGTTCAAGTGGCTAATGTCTGTTGCAGGCAGCTGAAGCATCAAACAAAAATTAGAGTACCTGGGCATAATGGAAAATGTAATTACTGCCTTTGACTAAAATCAACTAAAAACTGAAGAAAATGCTGTCTTTGATGACTAATTTTCATGAATAAAAAACTAAATACTTTTCAGATTTTTCTTTAGCCTGCTTTCCAAAGGTTATGTATATGTAAATTTAGTTGACCTTCATGACTAATTTCCCAACTATGGTTTTAAATTATTATCTCGTGTTTTCTTTTTTGGATATATAAGTAATTGGATTTGTTTTCAGGTATGCCCAGATGGGAAGACTATTGAAGCTGAAGCGGCCCATGGCACAGTTACCCGCCACTATCGTGTCCATCAGAAAGGAGGTGAAACCAGCACTAACAGCATTGCATCAATTTTTGCTTGGTCACGAGGCCTTGCGCACAGGTATTGTTTTGTTATTCTTAATCTAGTTATTGAGTTAATGTAGTCTGTTTTGTTAAAAGCTTGAAATCCGTAGGGAATTAGTTTAAGCTGGGGTTTAAATTCCCTTGGAAACTGGGAATTCTTGATGGACAACAATATGCAGGAAAATTCTAGGTTTGGAATCAATCGCAATTGTTTTATTGTTCATGGAAAACAATTTTCTAGGCTTGGTAGCAACAGTTTAGAACATGGGAATGATTGACGCATGTTAATTAAATTCTTCAGTTTTGGCAATGGAATTTCCATACTGACAAACACTCGGTAGCAATGAGGATGTTTGATACTGTTTGAGAGTTTAGACATAACATGTGCGCTTAGGCATTATGATATATGTGCAGGGCAAAACTGGATGGCAACGATCGGCTGCTAGATTTTACTGAAAAACTGGAAGCAGCCTGTATTGGAACTGTTGAATCCGGGGAGATGACAAAAGATCTTGCGCTTCTCATTCATGGACCAAGGTAGGCGCTCTCTACTAACTTTTTAGCTCTGCTGCCTGGACCTTAGTTAAGTGTATGTGCATGTACATGGGGTTACTTAAATTCTTGTTTTGTTCAGGGTTAGTAGATCTCAGTATCTAAGTACCGAAGAGTTCATCGATGCAGTAGCCAAGGAGTTGACCAGAAGACTGCATGTGAAATCAAATTTGTAAAACGTGTGCACTTTGTGCCGTCTCATCTCACTTTTAGCTTCATATACACTTGCCAATAGAAAATGCCTGATACCTGTCCTCTAATGCACACCACTCTTATATAGATTCATAATAAATAATGTATGAATTCCACACCAATATGGAGTACAATAAATTGAGGCCACTCGTGCTTATTTGATAGAATCAACGTCCTGATGAGATACTTTTATTAGGATAAATTATATCATTGATCACTCAATCATTTAGGGGGCATTTGGTTCAAGGAATATAACATTATTTATGGGAATAAGATTATCAGAATGTAACATTACTTCACACATTACTGAGAATGTTAAATTATTGTGTTTGATTTGTTTGATAGGAATGTAAGATTATAGTGTTTGGTTAAAAGAATAAAAGATTACTAGATGTATATTTTACTAAATTGTCTTTGTGATATATTTCCTTTTTAACAAGTTGAATTCTAAATATTCAAATGAAAAATATTTATATAAAAAATCATAGAAAATATATTATTTTATTATTTTTAATTTATATATTTTCTTTATAAAATTTAAACTCACAAAATTTATATAATTTTTTTTTATACAATTTAAAAGATAAATGATTTTAATAAAAGGTTTTTATTTTATTTTAACTTTAATTTTATATAAAATTTTAATTATGAACATTTTCAGATCTAAAATAGTTTGGAACATATTTACAATTTACCCTTTTTTTATTTAATTTACTCTCTCACTTTTGAAGGTCATGCGTGAGAATGAGAGAAGGATATTTTTGAAATAATTCTTTTATTTCCTGATAAGGGAGTTTACCAAAGTAGTACTAGTATTTCCTGATTAAAATGGAGACGAGTGTGAGACAAAAAGAAGAGGGCGGGTAAAACAGAGGGTAGGCTAACTTCATCATCCCCAATCCCAACCCATCGGAAATTACGGTGAAAGAGTTTGAAAAGGCATGGATAAGGAGGAGGAGAATAAGGAAGAGAGTAGCGCTATGCACCCAGCTGTTGCGCCATTGTCCTACTTGTTGGGAAAATGGGAAGGCGAAGGCGAAGGAGGATATCCCACCATCAACTCCTTCCGCTATGGCGAAGAGCTTCACTTTTCCCATCCTGTGTCTGGGAAGCCCGTCATAGTCTACTCTCATAAGACCTGGAAACTCGATTCTGGCATGCCTATGCACTCTGAGTCCGGCTATTGGCGTCCTAAACCTGATGCCTCCATTGAAGTTGTTATTGCTCAGAGCACGGGCCTTGCTGAAGTTCTCGTAATCTCCTTTCCCTTTCTTTGTTTTCCTGTATTTAACCCTCCTTTTTCTTCTTTTACTTAACACGTTTATATCCATCTCAGAAGTGAACATACAGCGCAGATGACAAAGTCATCAAGCTTCAAAGTGAAGTTGTTGCCAACGCTTCCAAGGTAAATTTTGTATAATCCAATATTTTCTTCTTCTTCTTCTTCTTTTTTGGCCAATTCCTAGTTATCATGTTTTGTTATTTGTAGATTTCCGTCAAACCTGTTAGTTCTAGTTATGAATTTATGATATTTACTAGTGAGTGGTAAGTTAGATAGAGGAACTGTTGATAGGAGAGGATTTTCCTTTGTGAAGCTTTCATATCTTCAAATATTTTCCATTTGGAATGTTCGAGTGTTGAGTTTAGAATAACGATTCTTTTTTCCTTTTCTATGATCCAAGTAATTGACTGTTGAAATTATGCGATTTGAGTTCCTTTTCCATTGAAGATGGGTCTAACTTGAACTGTCTACGTGCTTGCGAATAGCAAATTATTGATAAGGCATGAATACAGAAAATTAGTTGATGTGATGCAATGTAATTACTTAACAGAAATAGTAGCTAAATATGGAAGAAGAAACTGTCATTTCTCTTGGATTTATTAGTGCCACTGCCACCCATTTCTTCCTTTTTTGTTCTTTTTTTCTTGCAACCTATGATTGACATTTACTTGAAATTAATCTTGGTGGACTTATTCAGATGAAATTTACTTTGTTCTCTTGATAATGTTGCTGCACATTCCACACACTTGGGGATTTTGATTAAAGTTGAAGAAGGATATGAAATAGGGTGACGAGAGATTTAGGAGGGCTACACGCTTGGAGATTCCCTTCTATTGCATACATTCATATCAGGTGCACGCTGGCATTTCACATACCTGCTACCCAAAATTTAGACAACCTTATAATTGTCACGGATCAACAAGGCCCATTTCTTTGGACCAAGATCTGACCTGCATGGTGCAGAAGCATGCATCATGCTGACACATGCTATGATTCCGATAGTAACAATCTGGGCCTAAGCATCTCTAGCCACAATTTTTCTAGCCTAAACTGTGTGACCCTTGAAAGTTTAAGCTCTAGTTGCTACTTTTGATTGACTTGCCACTTAAGGACGAAAGAGAAAGTTAAAGCAACCAAGTATACTGTTATGCATGTGGAAGAAAGAGAAAAGGTGAAAGCAAATACTTCTCTTTTCGTATTGGACCACCTCATTTATCATGTGTGTAAGAAAGAGAAAATGTGATTAGAAAATGACAACAAATGAAGCATTCTTTTATACGTCTATACCAAATAAGTGCCAAGTCATTGAAAGAGCAAAGGCATGAAAAGAAGTGATATCCTCCGTAACAAACATGAAGTGGCACACCAACTCCACCATGCAAGGGGATTGATGGCCAAGTCAAATACATAAAGGCCTGAGGGATGGCACTATCCTTCCTTGAAGCATCTGCCGAATCCGCCGTAAGACTTTATTTGATGTCTTGAAGGAAGGAGTAAGGTCTCTGATGTCATAAGGCTTGCAAAATTGATGCCACAAATGCCACACAGAGAAAAGAGTGCAAGCCATTAACAGTAGCATCTTAAGAGGAAGAAAGCACAAACCTCAACCACATTTGAAGAGAGGAATAACGCAAAAGAAAGGCCCAAAGAAGCCACACAGACTCCTAAGGACGCAAGAACCTTTTAGTGGAAGATGTTATTAGAAGACCTTTAACAACTGAGTGATGACCTAAAGTTTTTTCATTTGGAGGGTGTTACTTGAACACCTTGAACACCTTAGAGATGATGTAAAAGACCTTCAAGTGGAGAAAGTTCTTAAAAAAATTCAAACTCTTCAAGAGATGATGTGAAAACTTCCAATACAGAAAGAACTTGTCAAAACAATCTCAAAGGTTGAGAGGATCAGGTGGTCATTGTTGAAAGACGCTAAGCATTTGGAGGGATGATACGAAGACCTCCTATACATAGAGAAGGTTATCAAAACAATCTTGAAGACTTTGGGAATCAATGATAGGATCCTAAAATAAGGGGCAGTCATCAAAACAGTTTGAACCTTGGAGAGGGATAACGGTAAGACCTCCAACTTTTTAAAAACAATTATATACTATTTTAATAAACAATTATGACTCATGGAGAATGCTATAAAGCAATCTCAAAGATTCGGAGAAATAATGTAAATGACAGCCCCAAACAAGTGGAAATCGAAACTTTCAAACATTTGGATGGTTGAGGTGAAGGAATTATGATACATAGAGAATGCTAGACTTGTAGAATGTCGATGGAGAAAACCTCAAAGATGTGGAGGATGGCATGGAAAACCCTAAACAAGTATACATAAGGTGCAACTATGGCATCAACAATAGTACATTTCTGATGCCATTAAATTCTTGAAAACATGTCAAATGATGAAGTAGATGGAAAACTTTGCACTCAATTCTTCATTTGCTGCGATAGATATGAGCTTAGTTAGATTAGGAAGATTAAATCAGAGGAACCCTTACAAGGTAGCACTTCACTAGACCATTTAGTTTCCAAATGTATAGATTCAAAATTCTCAGGTTTAGACAGATCATGTTACAGTATCTGATTCAGCCCTACCACTTTGTTATCACCTTTTGATTCTTCTCTGTGTTTTTTCTGTGATGGAACTGAATTGACTGATTTCCCCCCAATTTTCAAGCATTATCTCATTCGGCCCTATCTCTTTCGTTTCATTGGTTAAAGGCATGCATGTTTGCAAGTGGGACACACTGCAATCCAAAGCATAGAAAATACCCTAACTAATAATCCAAAATTGTACATTAGGCAGTTGGAGACTTTTGTTTCCGGTTCATCTAGAGTGAAGAACACAGTGTGGATGGCTTATGAGTAATAAAGTTGACAGCAGTTCAACATTTCTTTTCGCTGATCGCAGGTGAGGGAGATAAGTCGAGTTTACGAGATGGTTAATGGAGAACTACATTATGTTGTTAAAATGGCTACCAATCTTACCGCTCTTCAGCCACATCTTAAAGCTGTGCTCAAGAAGCTGCCATAGAACTTCAAAGCAAGTACTTTTCATTTCATTCGGACCGAATCAAACTATTCTGTGTTTAATATTAGTAAACTGTCTGGTTCCAGTCCAGACTAGAGGCAGCTTGTTATAGCAACAAAATATTGCATTTTGGTGGCCGAGACAGACTCCCTGCTCAGAAACTTGATCATTTTGTATTGAGGGCCAACTCATTATATGTTGACTTAAAACAATTCCAACTTTCTCATAAATTAAATAAAGAAAATCATTACTAAGAACTTCGTGACATTCCTTTACTTTAGGTTGGGTGCAGCTTGCATATCGAGGAAATTAAGGGTTGATTGAACAGCTGGATCTTTCTTTTGACTTTGCATTACTTGACTAAATCATCTGTCTAAATTCCTAGGCTTTTGATTAAAAATATTTTTTTATATATTATCACTCTGTATTCATATCATTGATCGATTAATCCATATTCAAATACTATTATTTTAAGTTTGGTTCGTGTTTAGTTTGTGTAATCACGAAGAAGAAAACGTTTCATGCTTTTCCATGGTTTTAGTTGAGTTGCATATGCTCAACCAGTTCGCATCATCTCATGTGATGCGAGTGAAACCTTTGAATGCACTGCATGTCCGTCGACCACGGCATTCCATTGAAAGAAATATCGACAAGGATGAAAGAAAAGAAAATAACGATTTTATCAATTTAGTATAAAATTTCGGTAAGCAATTAAGCAAAAAGGGGGCCCATCTTCTCGAATTTACGTCCACGTCCACCCAATGGATTGATAATCTAAAACATGCACTTTAAAGTAACCATCAATTCAGATA